GTGTAAAACGTATGATACAACTACAGCAATTCCTTGCATTCTGCTTTTCCATTCCTTGATACACGATCTTGTCCTGGTGGTATCTGAGGTATCCAGTGGACTAGGTCGCGACTCTCATCTATAAATCATCACCACAGCAGGAGCTGTCGTCAGGTCCTCCCCAGCCTTATATGGTGACATCCGTACATATACAGATGGTCGAGGACTACTGCGAGTATTATATTGGTGTGGTTTAAGCTCATAACTGAGACTGGTTTAATATATTTTTAAATAAAAATTTATGGTCATTTCGAAATTTTATCAAATGTTTACTTTCTCATACCATAGTTTATGGAGAAAGTAATGTTTTCGTCAAAATTATGGTCCTTAAAATGTTTTTTTTTCATTTTTCTAGAAATTTTTTATTTTTAATGGGGATTTTTCCATAAAACCCCATAATATATTGGAAAATCGGATTATCTCAAAAATGGCCCGAACGGTTTTCTTAAAAATTTAGTATGTTATGGTCCTTTAAATTATGAACAAAAATGTACACATCATTTCCGTAAAAATTACGGTTCAAAAGTTATTGTATATTATGTTATATTCCCATAAAAAACATAAAATAACAAAAAAATCAGATTTTTGAAGAAAAGCTGGTTTTGATCATAAATAATATGTTATGGTCCTTATAACTCTAAAAAATAGTACAACACATTGCTGTAACAATTTAGGTTCAAAAGTTATTGCAACTTTTGTGATTTTTTACTATAAAATATCATATTTCCTCTCACCACCCATGAAGGTTGTCGACAAGCTTATGGGAAAAAGTATGTGTCAGAATGCTGATAACGTTTATTTAAATTCGTAAAGTCCAAATATTAGTGTTATTATTTTAGCTTCGTTCATAATGTTTTTACCGGCAATTGAACTTTTAAATGTAGGTATAATTTAGAACTAAAACCAACGAAATGAGTGCGAGTGGTTGGCGTTGATTAGCTCAGCACAAACGGAAACACGAGTCAAAGCGACTGTATCACCAATCATCACACGCGCCGGACACAACGGCCGGAAGCGGAACTAATCTTCTGGTTGTCTGCGGGCAATGCAACTTTGGCTGGAAATATTACACTGTCTTTTCAATTTATCTGAATCTTTGACGGGGTTTTAAATACTCTACATCGTACAAATTTGAAAATTCTATGGTATCAATCAATTATTTACGGAAAAAGTTTGAGCTATCCAAGGTTTGTTTATTGTTGGAATAACATTTTAAAAAGATAATTTATTTTATCAAACCTTTACCATCCTTGCTATAAAATTGAAATTATTCTATTGTTGCTTTCCACAAATATATTGAAGTAAGTATATTGGATCTTGCTGGACTCGGAATTGGCTATAGTAAACTGTGATTGAAATGTACATAATTTTTTTCCCAGCACGTCACCACTAGTATGAACAAATGCCTACTGGTCCATGAGGTGCAGCTAATTTGGATGTTCTAAATAGTTTTTATGGCTTTAAATCACGAATTAGAATAAGAATCCCGTTTATATATGGCAATTATTTACTAAGTGACATTTCCACGACCCTGTGGAACTGAACACATCTAAAGCTGTCAGTGCAAATCATAGATGTGATAAGTCTTTTAGGTACATTTATACGTTTTTTGAGTTCCTCTACGAAAATGCTCACAAATCATCTTATGTTTTTAGATCGACATTTTTAGTTTATCATAGTTAGTGACATTTTCTATGTCTCAATTATTTACTTCAATTTTTAACTAACACCACTGTAGGTAACAATAAAGTTAGTAAAATTACCGTGAAGTAGGTCAGAGCCATGTAACAAAACTCCCATTGTCTCATGCCTAGAGCACAGACTTGTGACTCGCAAAGTACAATGATATAATCGGATCGCCACGAGGTAGAAATAAGATTACGAATTGAAATGAATCATTGAACGTGAAACTTAATCCTGAATAGTGATCTGATTTTTAATCCACCTTACAAAATCTTTCAATTCTATAAATGCAGAATCTGATTATATCTAATTTTACGTCACCAAATTAAAAACCGTCCTAAATTTTAAACTGTAAAAATGACTGTTTGTAATTTAACGAGGTAAAGTATTTTTTTAAGAGTAGGCTAGGTTTTTTATATAATTTGAAATGAAATAATTAGTAGGAAGTAAACGAATAAATATTTAATGATTTTACAACGATACATTTTGTTATGATCTAATAGCCTTGCGTGTGTTTGGAATAACCGGTTTAGGGAATATTATAAAATGTGATGTAAATACATGTTACATTTCCATTCAAACCTATACCAAACTAAACCTTAACTAAAAGACTATATGGCAAGTATTCACTGCTTGTTTACATAGGAGGCAATTAAACGTAAAATATAGTATATCAAAGGAAATGGACTGATATGGAACTCACAATTACTATGCAATTGCTAATTCAGACAACTGACTACATTCAATAGCTCTAAGCCCTCTTCAAATCTCTTTGACAGCTTATTTAAACACAACTACAATTAATTATAGTGGCCAACTTTCAACTAGAAGTGTGATACTAGTGGTTTGTTCATTGTAGCGGTCGGTTTGACTAGAACACTATTAGCCATGCATAAATCATTCAATTGTTTTGAAACTAGGCTCTCAAATCTCCAATTATATCATGTGGTGTTCGATTGGGAATATATCGACGATTCTTTTACATTCTGGTTATTGTTATATGTATTCGGGAAATCATACATAAATTACCATGTTGTCGGATTACTATAACTAGCTGTTAAACCCGTTATTTGCAACGGGAAGAGGACGCAAAATGTAATGAATTTATAATATTAATATTTCGCATATTAATACATTAGACAAACATGTTTATTTATATCAAGATAATGATAATAAGGTATGTTGAATACTTTAATTTCACCCTAAACTGTAAATAAAACATGTAGTTGGAATTTCTTCCGTGTGTTTTGATCGTCTGTTTATACTTCGTTGTTATTTCGTCACCAACATAACAACCCATAAGGCCCATGTTATTTTTTAATTTTAAATTTATTGTTTGTGCTTATTTTGAGTCTATTTTAATTTATAAAGGGATACTGCACATCTACAGGAAATTATCTTTTTAACAGTATGCGTAGGTTTTCCCTGCGATGCACACGAACCGATTAAAGGTTTGCCTATAAACATGCTTGCCTATAATTATATAGGAAATCACGGAGTGAATATAATGTTAGCCTTGTAATCAGGTGGTTGCAATTGGATCATGAAGAAGAAGAAGAAAGTCAGTACCTTTTTAAAATTTTGAAGCTGGAATTCTAAAACCAAATCCCATCTATACTTCCAAGCATCTCTTAGATAATTTGCCAGGGAACGCCAATCCTTACCATCAGTAATTAATGGCTATTAAATATTGAAGGCAAGAAGAAGTATTTCCCCATTTTTAACGATAATAAAACATTTGACGTTTTTATGATTCAATGTGGTAAGAATAAAATTACATGTATGAAGAAATATTTTGAATAACATGTCTTATAATTCCCTGGCACGACATCCAAACGTTGAAAAGTCAGTTATACAAAAAGCACGCAACGTCAGAAATCTATTTTGCCTTGTAGTAGTATAATTTTGTCTTTGTTGTGCGATAAAGTTCAAAATTAGATAGAAATAAGCCCAGACTACATCATGCAATTACTATTGTTCTACCTACGCTTGCTGTAGTGTTGGTCAGTGAATGCATACACTGTGTATCTTCTTCATAAGGGCAATAATTTTAAATACAATCCAAACAGAATAAACTACTGACTCAAAATTTTGAATTTCAGTCAAAAAACTTTAGAATCAGTCTTATACTGTAATTGTTCACTTGCGTATCTGCATTCATTTGTACACCTGGACAAAAGGTATAGTTGTTGTTCTAGTGAATTATTTCGTCTTTCATTATTTTGCATAACTGTGCGGAGTTAATCGAAATATTATCTTGAATTAGTTCTGCCACAGAAAGATAGGAGTAATCGTACAGGATTTCGTTTCAACAAGCTTTTCTCTGTTATAATGATAAAGTTATTAAGTCGTATTTTGATAATTTTGTTTATTCCCACTAACCGAATATACCGTTCTAAATATAGTCATGGCCAACTACAATGTTCTCTCACCGACTAACCAAACTAAATGTCAGCTCTATTTTGTCACAACCCATTGTTAGGGCCTCATCCAACTCAATATCAATGGAAATACCTGTTTTGTCTCTCCATGTTTGTTATCCTTTGTAAAGCGCGACCGTTTAAATTTGGATCGGTTTTGTCTAGCAAATGATTACTGCAACGTTTTATTACTGGTTAAATTTAAATTTTTCCCTAAAGTTAATTTTTTTTACAGCCTAAACTATTTTCGATGTCCTATTGTGTCAATGATTATATTTTATTATATGTGTATCAACGCTGGTGACAATTTATTATATATTTAAGATAAAATATTCCCCAAATCAATAATTAGTTTGTAAAGTACCTTGTCCATAATCAAAACGACGCCCTTTTTGTATATATAGACCAATAAAGTGGTAAATGACAATTGCATCAAATCCGTCTCAGCACCGAACCTGTAACCTTCGTCCAAGAACCAACACAAACTATGTAACAAAGTATTGTATGAAACGTATGTTGACGACAGTCGTCATTGTAAAGGTTGTTGTTGATATAAAATCAAAGGGATTTCTAAAATAAAGATTGGTTTAAACAAAATAACGTTTAAATATTTTGTTGTTTGTAGCAATATTTTTATTTCTAACAATTTTTTTATTACTAACTGATGAATATATAGAATAAGCACAGTTATTGTAATGATATGAAATTCAGCTCATTTAATGTATTTCTAGCATTAAAGAAGTAAGCAAATGACATAGGTATCATCACTTAGAGTAGTTCATATATTCAACAAATAAAGCACATATCTCATATCATGCCTTAAACTATTGTTCTCTAACTACTTTTGTCTGTTCGCAGGAGGAGATTGGTGAAGTGTTCGACCGGTGGAAGTCTCCCGCCATAACCTCGGGTGTACCGCCACTTCCTCCTCCTCGCAAGAAACCTCCACCTCCGCCTCAGAACGGGCGGCGCCCCTACCAGCATCTCTACCGCACCAACTCGCTGCCCAGCCCGAAGAAGAAGAACGGCGACTTGGACAAAACGTTGAACGCATGGTCCGAGGGCCTTCTAGCAGAGTTCAACACAATCATCGCCAATGAACTTACAACATTGTTGGCGGAACACGATATAGAAAACGAAGATGACATATTCCTGTCTGATGACGAGTCGATGATTCGAAGTCGTTCTGCGATGCCGAGGTCAAAGAGTTTGGGGACTCCGCCCCCTTCGCCGGCGACGTCACCGTCTACGTCGGACACAAGCTCGGGGAGCTCTGGGTCTTCGGGGAGGCTACATCGACCTCTATGGCGGCGACCTCCTAGGTCTCAGATGCCGAGGGACAAGGCCGCTCCCGTGCTACTCAGGGTGACTCCCATAGATACTGAGGGGACTACGCCCACGTCGTGTGAGGAGACGAGCGAGCAGGACTCCCTGGCGGTGGACGAGGGAGTGGCGTGTTGTGACAGTGAGGAGTCTAGCAGCATTCAGGTGAGTGAAGTATAGTTTGTAACCACCGTACTAGGAAATGTATACAATTAACAAATAACATCTTATCACAATTGTACATTCCAAAAGTCTAACTAGTGTTTTCCTTCCATACATACAACACCCAAACACACACACGCGACACATACACACCGCACACACATGAACATACACTTTAAAATAATTTATTTACATAAAAGAAAACAATTTGTATATAATGTATTTAGTAGTTAATTAATTTCATAAAAATGTAATCTTTTGACTTATGCAATGTATGGTTAATCTGATTGAATAAAGGACTTTGACTTTGACTTTATGAATGGTAAGTATCATTTTAGGTATTATTGATGATATTTTTCATCACGATTTGAAAGAATCTCAAACTTTATCACATGCTTGGGTTATAAAGTACCTAAAACATACTTACAAACTCAGCCAAAGCCAATAAATTGCAATAGAACACCTACATTAATATCTGTACAGTAGTGTGTTCCATACAGAAAACAATGAAAGAAAATACCTAATAGTTAGTATGTAGAGTAAACAACCATGCTAAACAACGAACCGACATTGTGACTATTATTACAGAGAAGCCTGCTGTAAAATCTCAGGTTTCCTTAACAAACTTTATATCAAGCGACTCCGAGCGAGATTTTGCAGCTTGGTTGCGATCTTACCTACAGATTGTATCTTCAAGACAGCTTGTGGTTAAATTGAATCTGTGTTATCTTCCTTTATTGAATCTTCCAGATCGGACGGGCTAAGTTCCGTAACACCACCTTCTATGCTATATCCTAACCTGATTTACCATTGATCGTTTTGTGTTTTGTCCCTTATACTTGTAGGAAAGATGTATATTTTTATCACAACTTATGACTTTAAGTGGTTGTATATTTTCAATAGTAAATTTAAGCCCATTTATCTGTACTTTAATCATAGCCAACAGGTCTCTTAGAATCTCTTCAACTGTCTCGTATGTTTGTAGCCTCCAGAGCCCCAGCATCCCCACGACGTGTACAAACTTATATGTACACACAGACCTCCCCCGCAGTGTCGCGGTGCTCTAGCCTCACCTGGCTGTCTGACTGCTCCTCGTCCCTGCCTCGCCACTCTCCAGAGTCAGAGACTACATGTACCTACTCACCTTGTGTCTTGTATGTTTGTAGCCTCCAGAGCCCCAGCATCCACACGACGTGTACACACAGACCTCCCCCGCAGTGTCGCGGTGCTCTAGCCTCACCTGGCTGTCTGACTGCTCCTCGTCCCTACCTCGCCACTCTCCAGAGTCTGAGACCGACGACAGGTCCACCAGCTCTGCTGATTCCTCCACAGCCAGGGACGAGCCTGAGAGTGGGATAGGCACCGCCTCTCCTCCTCATCCCAGACACACCAAACGTGAGTTTTTCCCACAATAATAGTGTTAAGCTCTATTAAAGAGTACAGTATGAGTGTGGATGGCGTAGAAGCTGGAATACTGTTATAAAATTTAATAAGAGTTGCTGACTTCTTCCTTACGTATTGATATTCATCAAACCAATTGACAGGCCAAATTCGAAACAAAAGACATCAGAGACTCTAAATTAACCTAAATCTTCAAATCTTTGATCGTCAAAAATAGATTTTTTTAAATAGAAGTTATATATATCTTTTTGTGAACTATAATGATAAAAAGTTTAATCTTGGCCATATTATAGATAAAACATACTAGTCGATCTATGACCATACTCCCTAAACATAAGTTATGTGCTCCACATTGTTTTCTTAAAATCGAACACTAAACCTAGGTTGGCAGGGTAGGCAGGCTCCAATGCAAACCTATTGAGTGGTATTTGATGTCTTGGTCAAATATTCAAGTTTTATGGTAATTGTAATGTTTTATGTTTAAAATAGTAATGTTTTTAACGGTAATCTAGGCGTTTGGTGCGAATGCAATTTAATGAGTTAAATAGCTACATTATTATCTTTTGGAATAACATTTAACGTATTTGTGTACTTTTAAAATCTATTATGTCTTGAGAAAATATTGGATTTTTAACAACGTCAAATAAGAGCCAAACGCAGGAGGTACCTGTTTGAGAGTGAATATCCGAAACAAGGAAAATTTAAGAAGGGAAAGTTTGCAACTGCGCTTTAGTATATTTTTTGTTGAAGGGAGAACACATTTTTGAAAGCAGACGGGCCAGCATAGGTCGATACAATGGAGTGAAATGGGCGCTTATCCGTAAATATTACCACCCTCCTTTCCCGCCAAATTCCCCGTTATCACTTCCCTTCCCGCTGAATCAGTAAATAGTAAACTGCACCTCCATACAACGCACAATCTGCCAATCTACAAAAACGGCTACAGTCTCAAATATTATATTGTCTGTGCTCAAATTATTGCATATAACTTGCTAATGCATGATTAAATACATTGAAGAAGAGAGTTTAGATTTAGATTTTATTTTTACTTGTCTAATAATAACAATCTTTTAGAAGAAGAAACAAACGTTGAATGGTGATTGACTTTGACACACTTACACTGAAATCGTTTTCAAATGACATAAAATCAAATGGTGGCCCTATTAACACTGGGTATTAGTTAAGAAAATTTATGGGAAATAGTTTTATTACCTCCATAGCTCTCTATTTCATAGATAATTTGACAAGAAATATCACAAATAGGTCTTACAAAATACAGTTATTTATAATTCCATTTAAACACGAATGACACGAGTGAAATCCGTCATCACATATTGAAGAACTTAACCGAAGATAGCACTCCTACAAACATTAGTTATATGATTTCCAATTATTTTGAGAAATTGAGGACAATCTTGTATAGGCTTAATCAAGGTCTGAGTGGAACAAAAGTGTGTGCAAATAAAAAAGGACAAACCATTAAATGACCAAATAAACGTTAATCATAATTGTATATTTTGAAACTTCTACCTCGGAGTTTTTGGTCAGTAAAGTTGAGACACTATGCAATAATAAATTCCTTGTCTTACTTATTAGGTTTAAGGGACATGGAAATCGGTCACTAATTTGTATTTATCAGTATTTGGTGTAAGGTGTGATACAATTTTAGTGAAAATATATCTTATAACTCTTATTAGATCTTTATCACCATCGAAGTCCACAAGTAGAAGTACAACATTATCAGGTGTTTGTGAATGTCAGACATTGTTTTCCACAGAACTTATAATGAACGATGTGTTGGGATTATTACTACAGTTTATATTCAACTAATATATCATGGAGTAAGAGAGAATAGCTCAGACTTGAGTACTGAAAGATCGGAGCTTTTCATTAGCTCACCCTCCATAAGATTGAATCAAAACGTGACTCTCCTTCATTACAGTGGAATAGAGAAGTCTCTGAGAATGTATTTGTTATCTAATATTACCCGTGCGTCAAATATACATTGTATACCAACATTTCATAATATTTTTATTGAACCTATTACAGAATCACGCAAAAAACAAAATACCCATGACCAGTATTTATAAAAGAATTATTATTTTAAAACTATCCAAATGGGGTTTACTGTATCTTATTTAATTAGTAGCATATTTTTACAAGTGTTTCATTAGTGTCCTACAGAACTGGAAGTGAAGAACTTAAAATATTATTTTAATTACTAGTTATTGTTTCAAAAAATCATGAAGGTAGATGTATTTCTCCCATTATTAGAAAATTTACCTTATAAAAAACATTATGATGTTCCAAGTCCTTTGTGAATATTGGAATATTCAAACTTTGCATTAAACACAGACAGTGGGTTTTGTTCAACGGATTAACATGAATAGTTTAGTTTCAAAACGGCATTGTTGTCTGTTAAATCAGGAATATAATTCACTATTGTGCCGCAACAGAGAGGGAGGATTATAGCCTTTTCCGATAAACGCAATATTTCAAACTTCGTATCAGCAAAATAAACAATACAATGTATTTTGTATTCTCAGTGAAACACATTCACAAGCAGGAATGTATTTTCGTGGAAGAGTTTTGACGTAATCTTGAAATGCTTGATATGTAGTAACTTTTACAAATCAAATCCACACACCTGAGTAAACGTTGGTAGAATTTGCCCTAGAATAATCAAACGTTCGGATAGTTTTCTCTTTAGAAAATGTTCTCTTTAGATTTTTCTCATTAGAACCTTCTAATGAGTTTCTTATACATATAATTTTATTCTTACCACATTGAATCATCAAAACGTCATATATGTTATTATAGTTAAAAATAAAGAAATACTTCTTCTTGTCTTCAATATTTAATAACAATTTACTGCTAATTTAGGTACTGGAATATGAATAATAAGCTGACCGTTGCATTTAATCCAAGCACAATTAGATTATGCTCTTACGCCGCCGCAAAACCAGAATGCAGATTGGAATACATGGTGGACGTGTTGAATCGATATGATGGTTTTGTTACTAATATAGATTACAAGGCTGACATGATATCCACTCCACGAACAGTAAATGAACGGTAAATTACAATGGTAAATTAGCAAAATAAGTATGATAAATAAAATAAGTAGGCTAGAAGAAATAATGCATATGATTTATTTAAATTCGTAACTGAAAAATTATAACATTTTATGACTTCAAATATTTGTCGTTAACTTCGAATATGTAACTTTTCAAGTGGGTGAAACACATTGAAGTTGAAATTTAATTTGAAACTACAATGAGTTTGGAGCACTGATGTTCAAAACAATCGTTTGTAAATTAATTTCAGGGGACATTTGCGTTGGTACTAAAAGTTTTCCAAGTTAAATGCTCTGAATGGTTCTCAATTGTATCGTTGGAATAATTAGTGTCGGCGTGAAACTCCGCGCTGACTGACTGCTACAGCCTTTTTAATTGAAATGGACTTTTCATTTAAGCCTCGTAATGCAATTGAGCCACCTGATGAAATAGCGCCAGTGCCATTTTAAACTCATTTCCGTTTCTGAAGCTTCTGAAATCTCCTCCTGTTTCGATTCTCGTCTAAGATATCGGTAAGAAAATAATTTAAAGGGATAGTCTAGTTTGTACGGATCGAAAACAAAATGTTTTTAACACGTGCATTTAGTGGTTTGATTGAAATATTCTTACTCCTGCTAGTGCAGAGAGTTTGTAATTGGTGTAGGTAAATTGTTATAACGATTTCCTGTACTTATATTTTTTTATTCATGATTTTGAACGTATTTGGAGTAGACACTCTTTATTAGAAAAATCTACCTCTTCTTTAAAATCATGTGAAATTCTCAACACATTTGGACAAAAAGCTGTTCGGAAAAGACTTTTTCTAAAACATTTCCAAAGTCAACAAATGATGTTACTTTCCCATTTAGCTTTGATTTTTTGATATAGCAAGATTGTCATATTTAAGAATATTTTCTAAACACACGGCATTAGCCATAGTGCTATTGTTATTGTGATATCTAATGACAAGCTGACTTATCTCAGGTTTTTTATATTACAACTTAACTAACAAACAAGAACTGGTTTACTTTACAACAGATTACTACACCAATTGAGGTGAAAAACACAAAAATAAATCGAACGGAAAACTGGACATAGGTGGTTTATAAATGGCCCACTTCAGTCTTTTATTTAGTTTATTGAAACGATAGTAAACAAATGTTTTTTTTAAGTTTTGGTACATACATTTACAAGTCGATGGTTCTGTTGCAGCACCCGCACAAAAGTGCAAGCGCAAAGAGACCTGGGAGAGACTACGGCGGCGACAGTCCGTCAACTCCAGAGCCCAGAGTCTCGCGAAGGGCGGCGACCCTTGGGTACGACGGGAGAGCTTCAAACACCACCTCCTGGAGTCTTCTAGTGACCCGGACCTGACTCTCCCCCGGCCCAGGGCCGTCCGTCCTAACTGTCTGCCCTTACCTCTCCACAGTCCCGCCACCTCCACAGAGGCCCTGCCCTCCCCATCCACCTCCCTGCAGCTGTCACCCACCCCCATGGTGACAGAGCTGGGCAACAAGTCGTCGTCGGCGCCAATACTGCACAAACAGCCACCCCTGCCGTCGCCCAAGGCCGAGGACTGCAACAAGAGGGTGAGTTTGCACATTTGTTTTGTAGATGGTATTTTCTAATATTTCACTGATTAAAAATTGAAAAAAGTAAATTTAATGTTACTTAATGTAACTATAAACATCCAGGATGGGGATTGGACGCGGAGGAGATAAGGGTAGATACCCTGTGCTCCTGTGTATCGTTGTCAGTGTCACAAATCAGTTTTTCTTTAACACGGACCATTTATAAACTAAAGATCAAGGACTCATATTTTCAGTATTTTAAGTTACCGGCCTCCTATGGCAACTCCATAAACTGAATGACAACAGATAGCTATAGGTAGCTGAGTAGTTATACAGGGTGGCTGGTCATCAGTGTGACAACATTTTGTTGGCGTAAGTACAAAGTAAATGCAGTGTAATGATGCATATAAAAGGTTCCAAGTCCAAAAATTAGCTTCCCAAAGAATTATTTTAAGTTTTTCAAAAATAACTATGTTTTCAAACTTAATACAGTTATTTCTCAATTACCTGTTAATGGATTTGAGTAGACAATGTCATTTTCGTGTTCTACATTAAATTTTGAATAAGAATAATAGAATATGACGGAGGATCAGTTGTAAAAACTCCATTGTAAATAGATTCAAAGATAAAAATTATGATGTTTGATAAAAATTAAAAAAAACATTGGTCTATTGTATTCGTTCACACCCTGTATACAAGAAAGTGGCCGATTATGTTAAAAACTGCGCCATTTTATAAGCTTTCCAACCATATGCTACACTATTGAGGTTTAGATATTCTGTTTTTTGTTTTAGTGGTTTGAATACCAGAAAACAGGGTGTCTTTAACATTTAAAACATAGAAAGCCGGCATGTATTAAGCAAAAGTTGTATTTTTGTTTCAGCTTAAACAGTAAAAACAGTAAAAAAGTTCCCTGTTTTCTGGTATTCAAACCACTAAAACAAACAACAGAATATCTAAACCTCAATAGTGTAGCATATGGTTAGAAAGCTTATAAAATGGCGCAGTTTTTTTACATATTCGGCCACTTTCTTGTATACAGGGTGTGAACAAATACAATAGACCAATGTTTTTTTTTTAATTTTTAACAAACACCTAATATGTATCTTTGATAATATTTACAATGGAGTTTTTACAACTGATCCTCTGTCATTTTCTATTATTCATATTCAAAATTTAATGTAGAACACGAAAATGACATTGTCTACTCAAATCCATTAACAGGTAATTGAGAAATAGCTGTATTAAGTTTGAAAACATTGTTATTTTTGAAAAACATAAAATAATTCTTTGGGAAGCTAATTTTTGGACTTGGAACCTTTTATATACATCATTACACTGCATTTACTTTTTACTTACGCCAAAAAAATTTTGTCACACTGATGACCAGCCACCCTGTATAGTAGTTCTCGCCTGGTAATCAAAAGGTCGCCCAATCCTGAGAAAAGTTACGAATAGTAGATTTTAATGGTTCTAAACTTGATCCAGCTGTCCTTGGTTATAGGCCAGTCAAATTGGACAATAAAATCGCAAAGCGTGATGTATTGCTGCATTTTTAATATGTTGTTGGGACCCGTTAGGGTAACTCAAAACCAAGTTTGCAGCTTCGAGATCCCTGTGCTCCCTGCGTAATAAGTAAAATATTACAAAATTAATGTATTTTTTTAAGTTTTTGGTTTAACTTATTAACAATGCATTTTTCTTAATACTACTCAAATGTAATAATTAAAGTACATAGAATTTCCAACAATTTAAGCATAGTTTCATTTTTGTGTGTCAAATAGTTTTTGAGAAATGATTTTTCAAATATTACAAATTGTTTAAATTAATTACCATAATTTACATTTTTCCTGGATTGGACCCACAAAAATTGTGTAATACCCATATTATGGCAGAATTCTTAAAAACTGCTTTTTTAGTAAATGTTATTGGCTTTCGTTTTATCATAAAGCCAAGTCTGTACCTTCAACATTTGTCTGAAAACTATACAAATAATAATTTATAAATATCACGATTTTTTTTATTTAATGAGTTTAAATAATGTCCCCAACCATTAAGTGATAAAAACGAAGTAAGGAAAAACATATTTAAGATTAAAAGTTATATTTAAAGATAAATAATGACAAAACATTCTTATAATTAATATTTTGGCTTTTTCGACACTGAAGGCAAGGTATTAGAAATGTTTCCTGATTCAAAATCTTCGGGAAAAGACATATTATCGTCAGGGTCATCTTCATCCTCTTCAATAAATGGTAATGTGACATTTTGGCAGTTCTTAGCAGAGCAAGGAGTACATAATGGTGAACACTTTATCCCGGCCTTCCAACATGTGCAAGCACCCTTGCATCCCTTTTTGCACCTACATGAAACTAGTTTCAGAAGGTTGGATGGAGCTGTACTGCATGTTGTTGTCACTGGAACCAATCCTGCTGTGCTATTTGACCAACCCCACTCTGTGGGATCCTTTTCAATCCCTAACCATTTTTGCACTTGGTGGTATGCTCGAAATTAGTGGAAGGAAGCTGCATCTTGGGGGTGGGCAAGCGTGATACCTTAGCGCAGGCTGCTGCCTTTACAAACAGGCGGAACCGAAGGTTTTCGAATTCATCGTGGAATGTGTTGTCACCATACAAAGCAATTAGGTACTTTTCTCCAGCTTCCTAGGAGGAGTTTTTAGGGTGAGAATGGGGAAACCTATTTTAATCCCATAAAACCCCGTACCCTTTAGTACGATCATACTGGTTCATAACATTTGCTTTTAATTTAATCAAAATCGGATGAGTTTTACTCTAGTTCATGTGCTGATGGGCATACACACACATTTACATAAACTTGAATGGAAGGCGTTTTTGACCTCTGGGAATTTGAAGTTGAAAAAGTAAATCAGTCCTGGATGTGTATAAATAATGACATTTTTTTGACATCGAAATAAACAAAATTATAAGGTTTTAGCAAATTTCCTATATAGGGAATGATCTATTACCGTAGTACTCATGGTAAGACCTGGACCCGGGACCAATTTCAATACAGTACAAAATCAATAATATTCACCCTATAGATATAAATATCAGATCAAAACACAGCTTATCTTTTGCCATTTTAACTTAACAAAGTCATTTTTCCTTTTTAGTTTAAAACAAAATCCTGCAAGTGACGTCCTGTCCTTTTAATCAGTGAACAAGGTTGACACAACAGGAGGTCTTCTTTCAGGCTCTCGGAAAAGATGCTGCGGGAAAAAGTACATCAGCAATCAGCATGAGTCTTATTGATGTAGAACCTGTACTATTGTAGTTAAAATGCATCATATACATATTTGAAACAGCAAAAAAATTATATACCGTAGTAGTAGACGCAACGATTGTGTTCAAATCAAATCAGATAGTGTTTATTTCATATTGTACATAAATCGGTACATGGAATGGCGTCAAAAACTATATCTAAAACTTAACATAAAGAAAACAAGTATAATAGAAATAAAACACTAATTTAACATATTCTTCTTTTTTACTTACTGATAGGAAGTAGCTATTACCATAGGTGGTACGGTAAGTCTTAGTGCCGAGACCGATATATTTGATCATTTTCTGCGGTGGTAATATTTACCGTAAGTTGTTTTTACACAAATTTATATTATATTTTAAAAAGATTTGCTAAAACATAGTAAATTTGTTTTATCTCTTAATAACTTACACATGTTGTAAAAACAATTAAGCTTGTTAAATGAAAAAATCGTGATATTCATAAATTATTTTTTGTATAGTTTTCAGAAAAGTGTTGGAGGTAGAGACTTAGCTTTGTGATAAAACGAAAGCCAATAACATTTACTACAAAAGCAGTTATAAAAATTCTGCCATAATATGGGTATTACACAGTTTTTGTGGGTCCAACCCGGGAAAAATGTAAATTATGGTAATTACTTAAAAAATTTGTAATATTTGAAAAATCATTTCTCAAAAACTATTTGACACACAAAAATGAAACTATGCTTAAATTGTTGGAAATTTAATGTACTTTAATTACTACATTTGAGTAGCATTAAGAAAAATGCACTGTTAATAAGTTATAAACCAAAAACTTTAAAAAAAATACATTAATTTTGTAATATTTTACTTTTTACGCAGGGAGCACAGGGATCTCGAAGCTGCAAACTTGGTTTTGAGTTACCCTAACGGGTCCCAACAACATATTAAAAATGCAGCAATACATCACGCTTTGCGATTTTAGCCTCTTTTTATGTACGATTCGACTGGCCTATTATTGGAATTTCAATAAATGTTCTTGACTAATGAAACAACTGGTTTTAGTCGGTAACAAAGCTACACAAGGCACCTCAATTTATTCTACACTCATCCTTCACTCATATTTTGGTTAAAATACGGATTTAGGTGCTGTACTTGGTAATATAAGTTACAATCGTCCAATAAACCCTCCAAAAGAAAAGACAATAGGAAAATTAAAAAAGATTTTTGTTCAATTCATTAGGGCAAAAATAATTACTTAAGAAAGCAATACAACTACGCAGCTCATTAAATTTTGCCTCTTAAGGTTGTCGGTATTGATCTATTCGTCAACTGTTTCTTCCAACATTGTTTTTTTTTTTGATTCGGTGTATTCAAGATGACTAAACCAAATGTACCATTATAAGTTAACAATTACAAATACGTCATAGAAATAAGAGGTATACTTGGAAAAGAGGTGACTCCTTTGCCGAATTCAATCAAGCACTGTAATATATTCAATATTCCATCGGTAATGAGCACTTATTATTCACAGGCCTGATCGGGACACCACATTGGGATGCTAATCTGTTCGTTCCTTATTGGTTTGTAACAAGAGACTCTATTGTTCAATATGCTAAATTAATTCTGCACACCTCGACGGGGAGTCGGCTCCATTATAGGGTTACGAATTGAGTGAATCATCGTCGCAATTCTATCAGGAGTGGTGTGACGAAATTTAGAACTGTCTTTTATTTTTACTTAAATTTAATTTTACTTACACTGTTATGGTGTTACATTGTTCTAAAGTTTGATCTCAAATTGCCTTTGACGAAAATTTTGAGTTTTTTAAGTTTTAAAACTTTATTTTTATAGTTTGAGTTATTTTTTCTGATGTAAATTTGAAGTTAATGTGATATTTAGCAAATATTATTATACAAATATTGTTTCAGTTAAAGCTTGTGACGTCACCAACATAGTAATTTATATTAAATACTTTACATTGAATTCAGAGTCTAGGTTGGCACGTTTTAAAGGATTAAATTGATATTGATGTGTGTATTATCATTGACTATATATACCTGTAGGTATATATAGTCAATGGTATTATTAAGTTCTGTAAAACTAATAGCTACAAAGGCCTCGGAAATAATATTTTTAATTTTTATGTGATTTTATTGCCTTCGAATCGCCATTACTGTGACAATTTTGTGTGAATTATTTTAATCGCAAAAATTTTTGTACTTAAGTATACATTGAATCATTTTATGTAAATTGGGTAATGTAAGAATTTCCCTTGATACTTTAATTTTATTTTATGCATGGTTTACATTCATTGTGAAACAATATAGTTTTTATGCTTAGGTAATTAAGTAATACAAAGTTGTCAAATTGTGTTGATTATTCTTTTGTAAATAAGTGCAAGGTTTCAATTTAAAATGTAATGTTAGATCAATTTTCTGAACGTTTGTGAGGGTTTTAATGGGCTTAAAACTTCAACTTAACGCAATTTATAATAAGATTAATTTATCTTAAGATCCTTATTATTTAGAGCCGGTCGTCCTACTACGCCTTCCATCTTGCACTCAAATCAACAACCCCATCGTCTAATCACCCGCCAAAAAAAACCGCTCCGCGATCCTTACCGTTTCACACATTGTTGTACGGACAAAGGACTGCATCAAGATTGATTAATTACCTTAGTACAAAGCAGTGCCAACTCATCATGTATTGTACGCTTAACAAGGTCTGTGTGTCAGTCTGTCTGTCTGTCCGTAGGTGCTGAAACAGCCGAGGTCTCAGTCCGAACGCCAGCTTACCGGTAAGTGCTTGTACTACTTCAATAGTTACTACTAGTATTGCAAATTGGACACTGTGATAGACATTACATCCATGTGGATCGGCTGTAGGCTGTAGCCAATACATTTATTTTAAACAAAACTTTGGTAAATGAGCCACTTACAGGGAGACCCTAATCCATCTATCATCTATCTATCTTCTTCCATACTATTATAAAATTGTGGTGGTGTCTATCTGTCCGGCTGCCACGACTAAAATACTAAACCGATACAGCCCAAACTAAGCACAAAGATTGTCCACATACCTAGGAATGTCGTAGGACTAATTCACTTCCCTGAAATCCTCTAGGGCTTCGCCCCTTGAATGTCTAAAGATTTGAGGTGTTTTCAAAAGTAAATATTATTAATTGGTCTCTATGGAAGCATGAGAAAATTGACGATCTTTGTTTACCTTTGCTTTTACATTTTAATATAAACAGTCAGAACTGCTAATGCTTATTTCACAATTTCAGACAAATTTGACATCGTATTGGAATATCTACTTCTAACAATCTTCAAAAGCGGATAGTTGATAACTTGGATATTATAATACCAAACGTCATCGTTCGGAAAGAAATGTTGCTGCAAAAAAAATCAGTAACCATTTTCAAGTCCAAGTAAATATTCATTTGTACAGCCTTTTTCCCTAAAAACATACGTAGCAGATGAATAAAACCACTTCACCGCACCACATGCTCACATATAAATATTCATCGGTACAAGACAATGTTAACAGTTAACGCCACTGAAATATTCCGGATCACGGGGCTTTAACGGTTCACACGTGGAATCTTGTTGGAGGCGATTTGAATTTTAAACTCAACTTGGGTTTTTACTGTACTGGTTTACATGGATTCTGCATTCTTTCTTAGTGGTGTACAATATGTTAGGGTATTTTTTTCCTGAAATACATTAGACCATAAAATAGTCAAAGTTATACTTTATACATCACTTTAATTTTTATCAGTGTGATTGTGATGTCTCTGTATCTTCTTAAACAACTAGTTTTGAAATGAAATAAAAATGCTTCTTTATTGAGGCGAACTTAGGACCTCATATTCTTTTTTTCACAGTTAACCTCTTAAGGTTTCACTACTATAGTGGAATAGAATACAGAATAGGACTGGCCTCTGAGGAGGTAGGGGATGCGACGTTGCCACTTCGTTCTTGGCTGGTGAGCTCACCTAGAGCCGGGGAGCGGGCGCGGGCATCCCTCTGATTCTGTCTTCTTACCTGTAGGGTAGTTTAACACCACAAATTATTAATTTTTTGGTGGTATCGGTTAGTGTTGTCATGTTTATATCACATGGAAGATATATTCATCTCTTACATGATTATGGATAGATTGTTTGCACAATTAATGACTTAAACCGATACTAGATTTAGGCTAGTTTTTGAAAAATATATTAACATACAATTAATAAATATAAAATGAAAATACATTTTATATAGGGTCACCTTTACAAGTCTCTGGGAAAATGTTGCCTATAGTCAAACGTTTGTCAACCCCAATTTTTAAACGAATCACCGTAACAATAAGAGCAAATGAATAGGCCTACATATGGTCCAAAAACTTTTATAGCAGTTCTAAAAATCTTGTAAATTGTTGCCCTGCTTATAGTTTGATACATAAAACAAATTAACATGGAAATGAAGAAGGTACAATCTTTCATATTAAACATTTACAGCAATAGTTTGGTTGTGTTTAGGAAACGAAGTTGGTCAATGTTTAGGAATTACCCCAAAGCTGCCTTTCTTTGAACACCTATTGTGACCCTCACTCCGTTAATCTTATTATTGCCACTCGACTGAACTTAAACTTACGGAGAACAGGTAGCTCAATAGTGACGAAGACATTTCTGTAATATGTATTGTGATTTGACAAAAGAGTCCGTTAGTTTTATATTGAATTTAAGAAAATTGAACTAACGTTTACATACATTACGTTATGTGTTGCATTCATTAAAATAGTCATACGATATATCCACTCTTCTATAACAAAAAAAACTTCTAATGTAGGTACTCTAGAAATCCTCAAAAAACATACCAGGTAAAAAGGGAAATAGATAACATAACTGCCAATTTATTGCAAAAATGACATAACTATTTTTATTAGAAAATATTATTACATTGCACTGGAAATTGTTGCATAAAAATATTTACAAAAGAAGATATTGACGTATGAAACTTAAATACAATTTTTAAGGGACAATGACATTTTTATATAGACCTATCAAGATATTTGCATTACGTAAAGGAACACCACGTCCGACGTTACGATATCGCAAACGCTTCACGTGTACTCGTGGTCGTCCACGTCACCTACTGTTGTTCGTATTCATTGGGCGAAACACAGTTCATAGACGAATTCTTGACAAAACAGGAGGGTATATAGAAACGCACAGGTCGGCTATCGGGCAGAGACTGAGTGCGTGGCACAACTTGGCAACAGTGGACAGTTTTCTAAAAGCTGATTGGATGCCGCATGCCCCGCCCCACCCGACTCGAACTGGTTTCGGTCCTATTCTGTATTCTATTCCACTATAGTTTCACTGTTTGTCGGACTACAAATCATCGCTTTTGTTGCAAAACACGTGCAAATGAAAATCGTGAATCTACCAAAATAGTCAAAATGTAAAAGATAACGAAAAAGGATCGATTACCTAGAGAAGATAAATCAAATGGTTTTTTAACAAAAAATATAAAGATAAAATAACCCCTCAATTAGATTTAGTCCAAATGTATACGTTCTATGCTATAAGTAATTTATTATCTTAGTGAAATTTAAATGCTCCAAAAATCCTCCCATCACTGTACTGAACAGTTCAATATACAATGTTTGACACACTCGACTATGTAGGTATTAAACCGTGTGACAGCGAGGTAGATAACGCCTACTGTCGGCGAAATGTCACACCTACGTCACAATCGCACCTATCTCCATACAACAACATTCGTGCGATCTTTCATTATGTGCAATATTAATGAAAATTGGCTACACAATAATGCATTTTATAGAACTCGCTAGTTCAACGAACACAGTTTCTTCGAATACGCACGACCATAATTACGAATTATCATTTATTATTATCTGACGATATGGTGATATTGTTTCATTTAAATTAGATTATGAGGAAAGCAATCAAATTAAAAAAATTCAAATTATTTCGTATTGGGAGAAATTGAGTTTTAAATTGCCCTCATTCCCTAGATAGAATATAAATGTGCAATTTGTTTTGAAATTACACTTGCATTGCGTCATATTGTTTTGTGTTTTGATCTAACTAAGATCTAATAACAAATAGTACCTAATAGCAAAGCTAATAGTCAAGGGTTGTTTTGATTGTTTGAAACATATGACTGCTATTATTATATATCACCATAGACAAAAATAATTAAATATAGACCGTCAGCCGTGCTGCGGTTACCACAGAATCTGGCGCACACCGCCAGTTAAACATTGCTTAAATGGAACTGTCTAAACCATGTAATTATTCTATTAGTATAGGATTCGGGCCAGCAACTTCATTTGTTTATTTTATGACCCATATCGGTTCTGTTCATGTCATCGTAACTTTGACTATTCCAATATTCAATGCTATTACTAGCTACCCAATATAACTTCATCGCGTTAAGTTTTTTTTATATTTCTAATCATTACTGTTTTAACGTCCTTGATTACACGCTGGTTTCCATAACAATTTTCGCAAATAAATAATGTTTGGACGCCAATCCAAATTCCAAAACAAAAATCTTCCGATTTCTCAAATTGTTTATTAGAAACCCCGACTATATTCACATTGACGTGACAACGCCATCCTTAACCACCACAGCTGTACCACACATCAATGGCTGATCAGCTGTTTAGTTGCTCAGATGCAGCTAGTCCCGCGACCTGGTTTTGCAAGGTCAGAGGGTTTTTGCTCCTCACCCGGTCGCAACCTTAAAAGGCGCAGTGCAATGGCGCTTTTTATTTTAAATGTGCACTGCAGCTTTACACAACAAGATAAATCAACAATCGAGTAATCGATGGCCGGTTGTACGTTAACGAATATAAAGTAAGGGGAGTCTTATATTCTGTGTTTTTTTTTTAAAGTTTGATTATAAATAAGCTTTGACTATATCTAATGCTGTAAAGTACATATTCAACATCCTTGCTGTGTTAAAAAAAACCAATGCATTTTTAGTCAAATATGGCTTATTAATACTATTATTGAATTTTCTCAAACATCGACCGTACTTTACTAATAATTTTAAAAATACAGTACCAATGACGCGTTGAAAGTACCCGAGTGCACGAAATAAACAAATTGTTTCATAGAGTGTGCTGCTACGTGAAATATGCCCACCGTCTCCTAAATTTTAAGACGAACTTTCATGAAACTGACGGGGAAAGTTTTCTATCATATTCCCACTAAATTTCTAAGTTTAAACAACTCAAAAAGACATTAGAACTTCAATATAAAAACAGACTACCAAACCCATTTGAGAAGTCATGTCTAGTACAGTAGTCAGAGTGAATGGTAGAATTAGAGTGTATTTTGAATGGTAGTTTTCTGTCTTATCTCCACTCTTAAAACATTCACCGTTTCACACAGATTATCTTTTGCATTGTTGTCAGTTTGTTTACATCTTGCTTGTTACATAGATTGGCTGTTTGCCCAAAAGAAAAACAACGCCAAAACGTCGGAAGTTTAAATTAATAGTTTGGAATAAGGTTTTATGTATAAATTTAATAATCGTCCAACTTATATATAAATTATTTAAATAAAAAAACTTTAATATTTTGTTTATAACAAGAATTGCAGTAGGCGATTCATTACGCTCTTGGTTGTTTACGACCAAAAACTATGTTCAGCCAATAGAAAATCAAGAGAAACTAGTGGCTTGTAGGGACATAAGTCCCTAAAAAGCTCAAATGTAAAACAACTTTTTGCAATACCGGTATTTAAACAAACTCAGAATAACATTATCTATGTGTCAG